AAAAAAAAATTTTTCCCAGTTGTAGATGGACACAATATCTTTATTTCATTCATTTATTTATTTATTTTTATGTGGTACTGAGGATCAAACCCAGGGCCTCACATGGGAGAGGCAGCACTTTACCACTGAGCTACAACCCCAGCCCTGTTTTTTAACTTTTGAGGAACTGCCGAACTGTTTTCTGAAGTAGCTGTGCCATTTTACAATCTCACCTGCAATGTATGATGCTTCCATTTGGTCCACACCACAGGCAGATAATTGTTATTTTTTTTATTATAACTTTCCTAGTGAGTGTGATATCTTTTGATTTGCATTTTCCTGGTGGCTAATGATGTTAAGTATCTTTTTATGTGCTTATTGGCCTTTCATATATTTTCTTTGGAGAAATATCTTTTCAAATCCTTTGCCCTTTTTTAACTGGGTTATTTTTTCACTATTGGGTTGTAAAAATTATTTATTATTCTGGATACAAGTCCTTTGTCAGACAGATTTGCAGTATTTTCCCTTCTATGGGTTGCCTTTTCAATTTTTTCATAAAATGCAGTCTATCATGAAGTTTGATTATCAGATGACCCATGTGAAGCCATGTAGCCAGCCAAAAGGAACTCTAAAGCTCAAGCAAAAAAAAAAAAAAAAAATTGATGGGGGTATACCAGGAATTGACCCCAGAGGTGCTTTGCCACTGAGCTACATCCCCAGTCCCTAGTTCTATTTATTTATTTGTTTGTTTGTTTGTTTATTTTGAATAGCATCTCACTAAATTGTTGAGGTTGACCTTGAATTTTCCATCTTCCAACATCAGCTTCTGGAGTTGCTGGGATTGAAAGCATGTGCCATTGTATTCTGCTCCATTTAGTTTTTGACTGTGGTTTGGTGCCGCCTAGTGGGGATTTCTGTTCTCAGTTGAAAATTGGCTGATTTTCCAAGTTGAAATTTGCTGCCACTTTCCTGCTTAGGAAATCTACTTCCACTTCCCTTTCCCTCACCACATTTTCCTTACAACCATCCACCAAGATAAGAACTTAATCCTGCCTGCTTTGAGAATGGATATTGGGAAGAGGACAGGAAGCCATCTCCAATTACTTTTATGTCTAAAACTTAAATTATATTAGTGAGGGATTTCTTTGTGGGTAGTTTTACTGTGGTTAGAGCCATGAGAAGAAATGCACCAAGGAAGATATAAAATAAGAATTAGCTGGAACATGCATCTCTACACTTACACATTCCATATCAGAAATGAAGAGTTCACATAATACTTCCAATTCTAGTTCATCCCACAAGGCTCTTCCTCCCCATTCCATATTTGTATGTCTCTTCCACACTGAGAACCCTGGCTTCTACAGCATTGAGTATTTATTCATTTGCTCAGTCTTTAGTTACATCTCAAATAATTTTAGTATCACTTCAGTCATACCACCACAATGCACAAGTTTAAGGTTTGTTTGCAACTGCTGCCTCATCCCTAGCTCAAGACTGAGGACATTAGTTAAATGCCATATATAAAATATTAGTTAAATACTCTCTATAAAAGTTACTTGATGGGGGACTGGGGTTGTGGCTCAGTTGTAGAGTGCTTGCCTCACATGTGTGAGGCACTGGGTTCAATCCTCAGCACCACATAAAAATAAATAAGTAAAATAAAGATATTGTG